CGGGGGCCCTGGTCTGCCTGCGCAGGCTCCTGGGACAGTCGAAGTGCTGGGGAGACGTCCTGTCTCGGGCGAGAGCCGGGCTCTGAGACCCTGTCCTGTCGCCTTCCCCTGCGTGGGCGTTAACCTGGTGACTGCCCTGTCCAGGGCTCAGTGCCGTCCTATCCCCCCCTTCCCTGCCCAAAGCCGCTGCCCGGCGCCAGGTCCAGCCGTGGCTCAGTGCCGTCCTATCCCCCCCTTCCCTGCCCAAAGCCGCTGCCCGGCGCCAGGTCCAGCCGTGGCTCAGTGCCGTCCTATCCCCCCCTTCCCTGCCCAAAGCCGCTGCCCGGCGCCAGGTCCAGCCGTGGCTCAGTGCCGTCCTATCCCCCCCTTCCCTGCCCAAAGCCGCTGCCCGGCGCCAGGTCCAGCCGTGGCTCAGTGCCGTCCTATCCCCCCCTTCCCTGCCCAAAGCCGCTGCCCGGCGCCAGGTCCAGCCGTGGCTCAGTGCCGTCCTATCCCCCCCTTCCCTGCCCAAAGCCGCTGCCCGGCGCCAGGTCCAGCCGTGGCTCAGTGCCGTCCTATCCCCCCCTTCCCTGCCCAAAGCCGCTGCCCGGCGCCAGGTCCAGCCGTGGCTCAGTGCCGTCCTATCCCCCCCTTCCCTGCCCAAAGCCGCTGCCCGGCGCCAGGTCCAGCCGTGGCTCAGTGCCGTCCTATCCCCCCCTTCCCTGCCCAAAGCCGCTGCCCGGCGCCAGGTCCAGCCGTGGCTCAGTGCCGTCCTATCCCCCCCTTCCCTGCCCAAAGCCGCTGCCCGGCGCCAGGTCCAGCCGTGGCTCAGTGCCGTCCTATCCCCCCCTTCCCTGCCCAAAGCCGCTGCCCGGCGCCAGGTCCAGCCGTGGCTCAGTGCCGTCCTATCCCCCCCTTCCCTGCCCAAAGCCGCTGCCCGGCGCCAGGTCCAGCCGTGGCTCAGTGCCGTCCTATCCCCCCCTTCCCTGCCCAAAGCCGCTGCCCGGCGCCAGGTCCAGCCGTGGCTCAGTGCCGTCCTATCCCCCCCTTCCCTGCCCAAAGCCGCTGCCCGGCGCCAGGTCCAGCCGTGGCTCAGTGCCGTCCTACCCCCCCCCTTCCCTGCCCACAGGCGCTGCCCGGCGCCTGGTCCAGCCGTGGCTCAGTGCCGTCCTTTCCCCCCCTTCCCTGCCCCCAGCCGCTGCCTGGCGCCTGGTCCAGCTGTGGCTCAGTGCCGTCCTTTCCCCCCCTTCCCTGCCCCCAGCCGCTGCCTGGCGCCTGGTCCAGCTGTGGCTCAGTGCCGTCCTTTCCCCCCCTTCCCTGCCCCCAGCCGCTGCCTGGCGCCTGGTCCAGCTGTGGCTCAGTGCCGTCCTTTCCCCCCCTTCCCTGCCCCCAGCCGCTGCCTGGCGCCTGGTCCAGCTGTGGCTCAGTGCCGTCCTTTCCCCCCCTTCCCTGCCCCCAGCCGCTGCCTGGCGCCTGGTCCAGCTGTGGCTCAGTGCCGTCCTTTCCCCCCCTTCCCTGCCCCCAGCCGCTGCCTGGCGCCTGGTCCAGCTGTGGCTCAGTGCCGTCCTTTCCCCCCCTTCCCTGCCCCCAGCCGCTGCCTGGCGCCTGGTCCAGCTGTGGCTCAGTGCCGTCCTTTCCCCCCCTTCCCTGCCCCCAGCCGCTGCCTGGCGCCTGGTCCAGCTGTGGCTCAGTGCCGTCCTTTCCCCCCCTTCCCTGCCCCCAGCCGCTGCCTGGCGCCTGGTCCAGCTGTGGCTCAGTGCCGTCCTTTCCCCCCCTTCCCTGCCCCCAGCCGCTGCCTGGCGCCTGGTCCAGCTGTGGCTCAGTGCCGTCCTTTCCCCCCCTTCCCTGCCCCCAGCCGCTGCCTGGCGCCTGGTCCAGCTGTGGCTCAGTGCCGTCCTTTCCCCCCCTTCCCTGCCCCCAGCCGCTGCCTGGCGCCTGGTCCAGCTGTGGCTCAGTGCCGTCCTTTCCCCCCCTTCCCTGCCCCCAGCCGCTGCCTGGCGCCTGGTCCAGCTGTGGCTCAGTGCCGTCCTTTCCCCCCCTTCCCTGCCCCCAGCCGCTGCCTGGCGCCTGGTCCAGCTGTGGCTCAGTGCCGTCCTTTCCCCCCCTTCCCTGCCCCCAGCCGCTGCCTGGCGCCTGGTCCAGCTGTGGCTCAGTGCCGTCCTTTCCCCCCCTTCCCTGCCCCCAGCCGCTGCCTGGCGCCTGGTCCAGCTGTGGCTCAGTGCCGTCCTTTCCCCCCCTTCCCTGCCCCCAGCCGCTGCCCGGCGCCAGGTCCAGCAGGGGCTCAGTGCCACCCCCTCCCTCCCGCCCGGTGCCTGGTCTGTCTGGCCCGGCCGTGGCTTAGCCACTACCCTCCCTGCCCCCACGTACATCCCTTGGCCACTGCCCTGCATGACTCCACCTCTGCCTGCTCCTTGCAGAGCCCCCGGCAGCTGATGTTCTATTACCCGCCCAGCCCCAGCAAGCTGCTCGGTGTCTTTGCCGTTAGATACGGGAAGTACAAGGCCCATTTCTTCACTCAAGGTAACTGCCTCCACCTCCCCCCCCTTCCCCCCTGCTGTGGGACAGGCCCTCGCTCCTTGGGTTCAGGTTGCAGGCTCAGCCCAGCCCCAGGACCTAGGCGCAGGGAGGGTGGGTTTAGCTGCTGCTACGTTTGTCCAGCAAGCTGCTCGGTGTCTTTGCCGTTAGATACGGGAAGTACAAGGCCCATTTCTTCACTCAAGGTAACTGCCTCCACCTCCCCCCCCTTCCCCCCTGCTGTGGGACAGGCCCTCGCTCCTTGGGTTCAGGTTGCAGGCTCAGCCCAGCCCCAGGACCTAGGCGCAGGGAGGGTGGGTTTAGCTGCTGCTACGTTTGTCTCCCAGGCTCCTTGCACAGTGAGACGACCCCCGACCCGGACTGCCATGGGCTGAGGCCCCCGACGCCGCACACCCCCCCTGTGCTTATCGACCTGGAGGCTGATCCTGCGGAGAACTATGACCTGCTGCGTGGTGAGGCCGTGGGGCCGGAGGTGCTGCAGGTGCTCAAGGAGATCCAGCTGCAGAAGGCACTTTTTGACCAGCGCATGGAGTTTGGGGAAAGCCAGATAGGGAAGGGCAGCGACCCAGCCCTCCAGCCCTGCTGCATCCCCCGCTGCACCCCCAAGCCCTCCTGCTGCCAGTGCCCCTGAGCTCCCTGCTGCACTTCACCCTGTCTCCTCTCTCCGCTGCCTGGAACCCTCCTACGGTTACTGCTCCCTAAATGCCCTGCACCAGCCTCCCCAAACTTGCTGCATTTGGGGAGCGTCCCTGGCCAGACTCCCGCTCCCCAGGCCTGACGCTGAGGCTCCCTCCAGGCTGCTGCGTAGGGCGAGCTGCTAGAAGGGAGGGGCGCTGGTGCACTTGTTGGGGGGTGCCCAAGGAGTCTTTGGCCATTGCGCACACATGCTGGCTCTCCCCAGGGCCTGGCTGAGCACAGCGAATCCTTTGGCGTCCGCTCGGCGCTGGAACAGAACAAGGGCAGGGTGCCGGAACCTAGCACCCTGCTGCAGCTGGCAGGGCCTGGCAATACTAGCCTGCTCAGTGGGGCGTGGCTAGCTTTGGGCAGGCCCCAGCACAGCGGTGAGGGCAGAGGTGGAGTTAGGGTGCCAGACCGGGGCCGGTGGCTGTCCCTGAGCACACAGCTAGGGGCCTGATGGGTACTTGCCGTCAGGAAAGGAGCTGTGCATGGGGCCCCGGGCCCTGCACCCCCAGAGGGAACAGCGCCGCCGTGTTCTCTAGACCAGAGCGACTCCCAGCCAGTGGCACACAGGAATTCTCAAGCCTGTCGGTCTGCCCTCCTCAGCCCAGCATGTCCCAGGCTCCCCTGCCTCATCCTGCAGCCCCCTTCTTCCAGCCTAACCTCCCATATTGCCCCCAGCAGTTCTTCCCCTGGCCTGTGCCTGCTACCTCTCCCCCCCCCGGGTCCCCTCTCCTGACCTCCACCCTTTGTTCCCCCTCTCCGCAGCCCGTTCTCCTCCCACTGGCCAGAACTGGCTGTGCTGCCTGAGCTGGGTCTCCGCTCAGGGCTCCATTCTCCAGGCTACTGGTCGGGCTCTCAAGTTCTGTGCTGGTTCCTGTAACAGCCAACTCCCTCGTCCCTCCCCTGCCCTCATTAAACCAGTAACACCGGGGCCGCTGAGTCCCACCTCCCTGCAAGCAGCCCCGTGGAAAACCCAGCAAATCCTCCATTTGGTCGCAGCCAGCCTACAGGTTAGCGTGCCTGTGCCACTGAGCTGGTGCCAGGACCCTGCTATGTTGCCAAGAACCCTGCCCAGCCATCCTTGCCACTGGCACCAGCCTTGGCCTTTCCGTCCGACCCCGTGGCAGTTTGCTGGGCTGGCAAGCGGCGTCCCTGCTTGTGGGGCTGGAGCAGAAACACCCTGGGCTCCAGCTGCCGCAGAGGAATGCTAGGTCCTGCCCCGGGAGATCTGGGAGCTCTTCTCTAGCGGCACGGGGAAGGAAGTCACCTCTCCATTGCCACACAGGCAGCTGGCCCTGGGCTAAGGGAGAGCAAAACACTGTGTCTATATACACACGAGCCCCCGCCTGTACGTTTCAAGGGAGGGATGCGGAAGTGCCTAGCGCGTAGTCGATGGAAATTCCATCAACTAGTCAATTAACTGAGATTTCACATAATTAGAGGGTGTGGGACTCTAAACTGGGGAACTGACTGAGAGTGACTTGGGCTTGTGATGGAGAATCCGCGGACCACTAGCTCACAGTTGTGATGCTGGGGCCAAAAGAGCTCGTGCCCCTGGAATGCACAATCAGGGCAATCTCTCGTGGCAGAGAGGTTATTTGCATATGCAAAGCGGATCACCTCTTTAGTTTAAAACAGAAGGTGAAGGAGGCAATTGATCCCAGTATATCAGTTTAGGGCAGCTACCCCAGGCCTTCCCCTGGCGGGGGAGCATAGTCTCAACTATCCGAAGGATGGGACCCAGGGACACCCCCCCTCACTTACCATGGTGGTGGGAGCTGGAGGAGCCCAGCTCCACTGCACCCTGCCACCCTGTTCGCGGATCACTGCACTCCACTTCATCGCAGCAGCAGGAAGCAGAATGCCCCGTGAAGCAGAGCAAGGGCTGGAAGAAGGCAGTAGGATGGAGTGGTGCAGGTTGCCAGGCTGCTCTGCCAGGACCCAGCAAATCCCCCAGTTTGCATTGCTTGGGAGAGGCTTAGAAGGGGGTGAGGGAAGGGGCTTGTGGGGACGGATGGCCCTGTACCCAGGAACCAAATAATGAATCCAGCAGAGGAAGGTCTGACATGGTTCTGGTAACACTGGCACTTTCAAAACCCAGGTTGGATGTTTTCCTAAAACCCATTGTGGTGAATGGGAGGGCGCTACCCTCTTCTGGGGTTAACCGAATTGCCTGTAAGCGTTAAACCAGAGACAGAGAGTCACTAGCATGTGTTGGCATGGAGCCAGGGGAGCTAATGAAAACGGTGTCGTTTTTTAATAGAAGCACTAATTTTTTAACGGACTCTCAGGGAAGTAATTCTGTGGTTTTTAAACCAGCTTTTATTCAGTTGCTCTGTTGTCTTTATTTTGTTAATTGCCTTTTTTTAAAGCTACGATCTGATTCCTGTGTCCTAAAGCCAGGAGGTTCTGTGTGCCCATGCCTGAGAGTGAGGCCAGCTATTAGGAAATTAGTCTGTTTCCAAGCTCTCTCCAGAGGGAGGGTCAAAGAGCTTGAGGGCACCGGTGCCAGAGTGTGCCAACCCGCGATGGGTCTATCAGGGTGAAGCAGAGCTATGTGGCTGAGAGCCCCACCCCACAGCCCTGCTGGTCCTGCTTCAACTCGAGGACAGGTATAAAGACTGGCAGAGCAGCGCAGTCAGCAAGGAGGTGCTGCCAGAGCTCTGGAGGAAGAGCGACGGGTGAACCGAGCCGAGCCACGGAGGCCAGGCAGCAGGGCGTGGCCGGAGAAGCCTTCAGCCCAGTGGGAACCGGAGAAGCCGACTGTTGTGAGAGGGGTGGGGAGTTAAATCCTTGCGAGCTCAGCGTGTTTGGGCAGATTCCCTGCTGAGCTAGTGGTGGGACACGCTCACCACTAACTGGGACCTGGTGGGCCTGGGTCTCCCAACCCCACCCACATTAACCCCCAAGGGGGGGCGCTACAGCTGTGATTGCTGATTCTGCCTTCTAGGCCTTACTGCCCCGAGGGAGTGGTGGTATTGACTGTGGCCGCTAGGCCTTGGTGCCCCGAGAACAGGGAGCATTTGATTCTGGACTCGGTCCACTAGGCCTCACTGCCCTGAGGAAAGAGGGTGGTGATTGCCACTAGGTCCTGCCACCTGGAGCAGAGGGGGGGGCGCTACAGCTGTGATTGCTGATTCTGCCTTCTAGGCCTTACTGCCCCGAGGGAGTGGTGGTATTGACTGTGGCCGCTAGGCCTTGGTGCCCCGAGAACAGGGAGCATTTGATTCTGGACTCGGTCCACTAGGCCTCACTGCCCTGAGGAAAGAGGGTGGTGATTGCCACTAGGTCCTGCCACCTGGAGCAGAGGGGTTG